AAAAAAAAAGAATAGCAAAATTCAACAGAGCAGCAAACAATGCTGGCGAGGCTGTAGAGAGATTGGAACTCCTAGTCACTGCTGGTGAGGGTATAAAATGGTATAGCCCTATAGAAGGTGGTCTGGTGCTTCCTCAAAAAGTTGGGAATAGAAATACCATTTGACCCAACAATTTCACTACTGGGAATATACTCTAAAGAAATCAACAGATGTAAAGACTCAAACAGATGTACATGCACCCATGTTTATTGCTATGTTAGTCACAATAATATAGAGAAGGAAGCAACCCATTAAAAAACGGATGAACAGAAAAATTATGGTATATCCACACAGTGGAATATTACACAGCACTGAATAAATAATGAACTCATAAAACATTACACAACATGAGTGAGCCTGCAAGACATTATGCTGGGTGAAACATCTCAGTGACAAAAAGACAAATACTGCATAAGACCACGGTTATAAAAGAGGACTGACATGGCGGGGCTGGAGAAGAACAGTAAAAGAGTGGCTAGATAATGAACACTGCATTGAAACAGATGAGGAGAAGAATTATCTGAAAGGAATATATGATTAGGCATTGTACGTATGACAACAATCTGGAACAAGAGGAGCACTGCAAAATGGACTGGGGGAGGGGGAAAGAAGGGAAAGAGGGGGAAATGTGCAACAATGAATGAATGGAAGCCCAATCTTTCTGTAAATTTTCATTAAAATCACAATAAAAATTTTAGAAAAAGATGTATCTGCCTTGTGTGGAAGTGGTCACATTGCTTTATGACTGGAAAACAGAAAGGCCCGAGGTGGAGAATGATCCTCATTTATTCATGGAAATATCTTTAATCCTGAGGGCAAGTAAAGAATAAAAGCACTAATGAAATAAGGTGCTGTCAGAACTAACAGGAAGGGCTCTTGGCTGCTGCAAGCAGTTAAGATTCGACCTCCACTTCTCCCCCAAGGCTGGTGGTACAAATCCACCCCGAGGGGGCTTAGAGGTCCAGCCCACGGCCCAGCTCACGGCCATCCCACGAGCATAGGAGGCCTTGAACATCCTGCCGTGGGCAGCTCTCCGACACACACATCAGGCTGTCCCAAGAGGGAAATGACTCAGACCACCCTGCGCAAAAACAAGAGTTCATGGGAAGACTCCAGCAAAGACCTTCGGTAAGATGACTGAGTAGAACGCATCACTTACTTGGGGGCACTGCGTATGGTATGTTAAAACAACAACAAAAACACACCAAAACTCCAAACCAAAGCAGTTGCCATAGTGGATTCTGACTCATGGAAACCCCATGTGCGTGTCTAAGCAGGATTTTCAACAGCTAGTTTTCCAGAAGTTGTTCTTGTTCTACAAGTCTTTCTTCCTAGCTGCCTCTTGGTGGACTTGAAACTACAGGCCTTTCTTTAACAGTCAAGAGCCTTAATCATTGGAACCACTGAGGGATTCCACGCCTCCACCTTCTTCCGGTGACTTCTGTAATATCTGAGCAAAGGAACAGGAATCAAAGTGACCTTTTCCTTTACAGTCACTAAATCTTCTAAGAATTCCTGGGGAAGATAAGAGCTCATGGGAGTGGAAGGAACGGGGTGGGATAAATACATAGGTCTTGTTAGACGGTCTCCTCCTGTTAAGATGAACAACCATGGAGGGTCGTCATGTGTCAGCCCTGATCCGACAGCTGTGGAATTAGGTATCAAGAACTGCTGGTTCACAC